TCACGAGAACAAACGCACACAGAAACTTCTCTGAGCTGCCTTTAGCAAGCAGGGGAGCCTTCAGGGTCCAAGGTCATACAAGAGACCCACTTGCTCACGTGTTGAAGGGGACATTTTCAAGGGAAATGAACATGGCAAGGAACCACTCTACACATCCTTCTATTGATGTACTCAAGTCCACAGAGACAGACATCTGGCAATCACAGTCCAGCCCATTCTTGAATTAAGACAGGATGAGATTCCAAAATGTCTGGTTTAGAGCTGGTCACCCCAATAAACACCACACCCCCAAAGTCAATCAATGATGCAGAGAATAATTTCTTTGAAAATATTATGAAAGGAAGTCTCCAGGCACTAGATAAATCAAAACTGCTGCTTTGAAGTAAATAGAATTATAACAAAAATCAACAGTGAAAATGCGGCAAGTGGATGGCTTTAAGATCTGGCTTGACTCAACTGCTCCCCCTAGTGTACCGACAGTGTTCTTACCTTCGTCGTATTTCTATGCTGGCCAAGAAAAGTAAATCTCTAAACTACTTTACACTGTATTGTTTTATTAGGTAATGTTAAATCAAGTTCAAGCATGGGAGAGTGGAAAAGATGATCCTTCTGTTTCGGGAGGAGGGGCTGATCTAAATCTTACTGACCCACGTCAGATAATGACAAGAACAGTAGAGTCCCCAAACAAATATACACAGCGGAAGCTGCTTCCCCCAACATCACTTCACCCCCTAGTTAATGCTTTATGCACATATAGTATAACTAGCTAGCAGGTCATTATAAAAATACACTCTGGAGGCTACACATGGAATTGCATAAAATATTCAAATAAAGTTCAAGAGTACAAAATTGGGTAATTTCTAAATTATCTGAAGTAGGGTTCACGGGTCTGTTAGGACACGGGAGCATGGTAGGGATGTTCCTCTTTTTAATTCCAGGGTAGCCAGGGCTGTTACACAGAGGGAGACCCTGTCTGAAAAACAAAACAACCCAAAAAATTATGCTCACAGTTACTGATCTAAGTAAATAAAGGTGGCTTAGCCAGTGCCTTTGTATTTACTGCACATTAAAAAATGCCAACTGCATACATTCTTAAGAGAATCCAGTTGTGCTTAATGAGCAGATGGATAACTCGCCAGAGCAGCCTCAGAACAGGGCAGGGACGAGCCTGGCCTGACCCTGTTTGATGTGCGTGGGCCTCACTTTACCATCCATGAACTGGATTTTCCAGATGTGTCTGTCTCCTGTGAGTTGGTGGTTTACCCTTTTCATTCTCACTTCTGAGCTTCCAAACCTCCCAAACTGTTCAGCTGTTAAAGACTTCCAAAGCAAGCAAATGTGTTCTTGGAATCTCACCCTTCTCTTCGCTGCAGAATATACACTAAGGCCTTTTCTCCAGCCAAAATAATAAAAGATCTTTAAAGTGGCTAAAATTCTTGGTGGATTGCACATACGTGCCAATGTCAGACAACTATAAATAGAGAGATTTGCAAGAGAAATAGTCTTCTTAATTCCAATAAAATGGACTATTTTGAAGGCAGTTAAAAAAACAGGACATATTTTTATGAAATTCAGATTTGTCCCTATTTAGCCCCAAATCCCCTTTATGCAGGAAGAGCTTCCTGGATCATACATTTTTAGTGTCTTCATATTTAGTGATAATTTTTTATTTTTAAACTGATAATTTTCATTATGTTAAGGCTTTTTGGTTTGGATATCTACTGCATCTTTTGATATCTTCCTCTACCAATGCTTTGTTATTATACAATATTAAAAAAAAACTTTAGAAGATAAATTATGCTCATGGAGCTGGGCATGGTAGAACTCGGAGGCAAAGGCAGGTGGATCTCTGTGAGTTTGAGGCCAGCCTGGTCTACGGAGTGAGTTCCTGGACAGTCAGAGCTTTTACACAGTGAAAGATCCTGTCTCAAAAACAAAACAAGACAAAACAAAAATTTATGCTCATAATGACTGATATAAGTGAAATCAGTTGAGTTTTTCACTGGTGTAACCTAGCGCAGATGTGGTCATTTTTCTACTGGTGTAACCTAGGGCAGATGTGGTCATTTTTCGCTGGTGTAACCTAGGGCAGATGTGGTCGTTTTCTACTGGTGTAACCTAGGGCAGATGTGGTCGTTTTTCGCTGGTGTAACCTAGGACAGATGTGGTCATTTTTCTACTGGTGTAACCTAGGGCAGATGTGGTCGTTTTCTACTGGTGTAACCTAGGGCAGATGTGGTCGTTTTCTACTGGTGTAACCTAGGGCAGATGTGGTCGTTTTCTACTGGTGTGATGTAGGGCAGATGTGGTCATTTTTCGCTGGTGTAACCTAGGGCAGATGTGGTCGTTTTTCACTGGTGTAACCTAGGGCAGATGTGGTCGTTTTCTACGGATGTGATCTAGGGCAGATGTGGTTCACACATGAGCTGGATTACTTGTGATAGCCATTTAGATTCAAGGATCTCTTTCTCAAGAAATCACTGTTCACATTGGCAGGTTAACACCCCCATAGTTTCCAAGGCTTGGAAAATGCCTACCTTTAAAGGCATTGTTACTTAATTTTGAAACTTAATTTTATTAATATTGTTACTTAATCTTGTACCTTGATTTTGAATAACAATGTATTTTTGTTTTGTTTTTGGATTACCATACCATCATATATTTTTGGTTGTGAGCCTAGTCTTTAACAGCTGAGCCATCTCTCCAGCCCCATACCATCATATATTAGAAAAATAATTTGAATTCTTGGAAATTATTTTGAATCCATTACTATAGTACAAGATAGTTCATCAATTGCTTCAGTTTAGTAATTATGTTCCAAATTAAAAAAATATAGACAACAATAAAGACCCTAATAGAGACATACATGAATCTAATCTACATGGGAAGTAGAAAAAGGCAAGGTCTCCTGAGTAAACTGGGAGCATGGGGACCATGAGAGAGATTAGAAGGGGATGTGAGAGGAAGAGAGTGGAGTGGAGAAAAATATATAGCTCAATAAAGCAAAAAAGAAAGAAACTTATATCGATGATTTCCATGACTGAGGAAAGGTAGAGAGAGGAGCACTCCTTCAAACTGCAGATTTTCAGGATTTTTCAATATTGTACTAAGTGACTGAATTAAATCAACAAAATAAAATTGAAACCTTTTCTCTGAACAGTTAAAAATATTCTACAACTTAAAAATAAATATTAGCATATATGCATCATACAATGTGATATGATTACACATTTTCACTAAAATATATCATTGCTTTACCTGATACACATACATTATCCTCTCCTATTTTCCCATATGGTAGTCCTTTCTTCTTCCTGAATGGTCGGTCACATTTCTACCATTATGCTATTTGTATGTGTGTGTGTAAAATCTAGACTCTGTATATAACAGAAAACATGCCATATGAGGCTCTCTGACTTTAACATGTTTTGTTTAGTGTGATGTTTCCAGTTCCACCCGTCTTCCTGCACAGGACTGACTTCAGAGCGCAGCCTGCAGAGGGCGACCCTTACGGTGAAAAGAGCTGGCGGATGCCCCAGCCTTACTGCCCTCAGGAACACACACAGCAGACAGACATGCTTGCTCTGCTGTGATTGGCAGGGCACAGGTCCTAACAGCCAACTTAAGGCCTTGGTGTCCATCAATATGTGAAGAGATAAATGAAGTATGGTATGCAAACACAATGGAGCTTTCTATATCCATGAACAAAGAAGATACAAGTACATAATAATGGATGTGATACATTTTAAGAAAAGTATCATGAAATCCATTGCTTTGTACAATGAACATATCCTAATAATTAAAAGCGCTACATGCATTACTTTTTAAGAGAAGATTTATAAAAGGCAAAAATGGTCATGCTTTCCTAAATAACTAATTTTAAAAATGGTTCAATCCTTCAGAGTGTAATATATTCATCCTAAGGGTTTGTCACTATCAGGTGCCCACCATGTCTGCCGACAGCACTGGCTAAAAGCATTCTTGAAGAAATTTTTTTACTTCTTATTGTCATAATCAATAGTGTCCCAAATTAAAATGCCACAGCAGTACAAAGATTGTCCTACCAGGTTCCCTCCAGACATGTTGGACTGGATGATTGCTTACTTCACCACAGGAGCTACACTTTCGGCAGTGTGGCGTTTGAAGAGTGATTCAAAGCTAAAGGGGACGAGTCAGACTGAGCCTGTTCCAACTTCTAGTGCTCCACTACCAGGTTGGAATGCAATAAAGACTCCTGGACGACTTGTAAACCCCAAGCTTTCCTTGTCAACTTCTCAAACCAACAAATACATTTCATTTACTTGTTATTTTGATGTACGTGGGTATGTGTGGGCCATCACATGCGTGTGGAGGCCAGGGGACACCTTTATGGAGTCAATCCCCTCCTTCCACCTTTATGTGCGTTCTGGGGATTCAGTTGAAGTTGTTAGGCCAGTGTGGCAACCATTGAATCATCACACCAATCTTCACACAATAAGATCAGATTAAATGAGAGAAATTTTTATAAAGTGCATACATTCTTCAACAGATGAATTTATGTATCTCTCCGGTGTGCTTTTGAGGGGGAAATTAGGTTAACTGGAGAAAAACAAAAGAAAGAAACATCCATTTTTATCTACCTCAGTAATAATTACCCATGCCATTTATTAGAAAGCCCATTATTATAGTGTATTTTGTTAAGTGTTATTCTGCCAATACTAAATGCTTCCCAGAATTTAGTTACAAGATGAACCAGAGCAGATTCTAGAATTTACAGTTCTCATACAATAGCACATTGCTCTAAGAACTTGAACCCACACTGCCTGTTGGCTCTGTGTGAACATGGTAGACAGTACACAGTAAGGGTTAATTTGTGCTAAATGAATGAATGGGTCCAACATCAGTGAATGAATGCATGTTGTGACAAACTCACTCAGTAAGCTGCAGAGAGAGACAGAGAGAGAGAGAGAGAGAGAGAGAGAGAGAGAGAGAGAATGTGCACCATCTGTATACAGACTTACTTATTCCACGCTTGTCTGAGGCTTTTAGAACTGTACACGGTAAAGCGTTCTGAAATAAAAGAGAAAAACAGTAAGCAATCTTTGTATCAACTGTATATATCACAAGTCTGTTGAAGAAAATAACTTGTTTTTAAAAGACAGTCTCACTACATAGCAAGCTTACGGCAATCCTCCCTCCCTCTGCCTCCCAAGTCCAGGGTTCATGGCCATGTACCACCACACTTAAGAACATCCAGCTTTTTCAAGAGACACTGTTTGATTTGACTGTAGTAAGACATAGGCATGGGAGGACCATACTCTTTAGTATGAGAAGTTTAGAACTAGTAAAACAGGAGGAACACAACACTGACAACAATAGAATACTGCTATGCTGCTTTAGGGTGATTTTTTTCACAATCTATTTTTTTGCTAATTACTAACGACTGAATTGAAAAAGTAAGTAGATTACAATTTCAGAACCATATGCAGCCTTATAAACAAATATCAGCATACTGGACAAGAGAAGCTTGCTGATCTTTCTACGGCAGTATCTTAGACCAAATGCAGTAATGTTGAGTCTCCAATCTTATGCTGCATGGCACTCAGGCATGTTCAACGCCAACCAGTGTCCAATGGTGTGTACTTTCATGTACAATCAATTATGAGATTTTTAAATTAAAAATTATACCATGTTAAACAATGGACACGGAATTCACTCTAATAATTTCAACTACATCCTTTCTTTTCACTCCTGATAATATAACAATTGTTAGCTTTGATATGTCAGTTTCCCCTCCTCTTTCTCTCTCCTCTCTCTCTCATCTATGTGTTTCTAACTTTTTAAATAGGATGTGCAGTGAACACTCCAAACATGTTTGCCATTGGATAACACCAAGTGGGTAGCCCTTCAATCAAGAAAATGTACATACAATTGTTTTAAAAATGTGTAGCACGCCAGAGGATAAAGGACCACAGCATGTCTGCTGAACTCTGAGGCAGCTGTCCATTACACATGATACTTCAGTGGGCCCACTGCAGCAGCTCTTTCTATAGGGCAATTTCTTTGGTTAGACTTAGTCTGTAAGGCTGCGTGACATGTGGGGCTCATGTCTCGTATTTCAGCAGAAGTAGCACTGCTTTCCATTTCCCACCAGCAATGAGGAAGACTGCCTCCTCTTCTTGATGCTTCTCAGTACTACCTGTTTCCAGTCTTCATATTTCTGCCCAACCACTGCTTCACAAATTTCACTTATCTTACTTGGTTAGGATTTTAGTTGGTTTTAATTTAGACTGGTTCTTTATCAGTCTAGAGATGGTTTTTAGGGTAAGTCAAGTTGTCCCCCGCCCCATACACAGAGTCCCATATAAATAATGATGATTTGGTCAAGAATGGATTGTGTAACATGTTTACAATGGTGGTCTTGTCAACTTATAATAGAGGGTAAAATTCCTATTATCTGACAATGCTGTAAAGTAATGTTATAGTATGATATATCTGTCACTTGTATACTTGTGATGACATTGTGCACACAAACCAACTGTGCACATATATTACATAAAGTATAGATACTGGAAAATGGCAGTAATAGTAACAGTAATAACTGTGTTATTAGTTTATATATTTACTATAGCATACTTTCAATGGTTAAAGTTCGCCCTCCTTTATGCCCTTCTTCCCAGCCTTGTTTATGTTTCCATCCATGCAGATCTTTAGGAAATTGCATTGGCTAGTTTTATATAAACTTGACACAAGCTAGACTCATTTGAGAAGATGGAGACTCACTTGGGAAAATGACACCAGAAGACTGGTCCGTGGGAAAGCCTGTGGTGTACTGATGTGGAAGGCTGGAGCAAGTGGCCACCTCTATGAAGGTGGTCCTGGGATTTAAGAAAGCAGGCTGTGTCCTTTACCTTACAGAGGCTTTTCTGTTTCAGGGACCCCATTTATGGATGGTTGCTCTCAGTGTCTGTGCTACTGGTGTTATATTTAGGAAGTGGTCTCCTGTGCCAATGTGTTCAAGGCTACTTCCCACTTTCTGTTCTGTCAGGTTCAGTGTAACTGGATTTATGTTGGGGTCTTTGATCCACATGGACTTGAGTTTTGTGCATAGAAATGGATCTATTTGCATTCTTCTACAAGCTGACATCCAGTTGTGCTTGGACCATTTATTTAAGATGCTTTTTTTTCCTATTGTACAATTTTGGCTTCTTTGTCAAAATTCATGTGTTCATAGGTATGTGGATCAATGTCTGGGTCTTCAGTTTGGTTCCACTGGTCCACGTGCCTGTTTTTATGCTAATACCAAGCTGTTTTTATAACTATAGCTCTACAGTAAAGTCTGGGATGGTGCTATAAGACAAAATGGTAGCCTACAGAATGGGAAAACATCGTCACCAACCCCACATCTGACAGGATTGACCTCTGAAATATATAAAGAACTCAAGAAACTAGACATCAAAATACAAAATAATCCAAGTTTAAAAAGGGGTTACAGATCTTAACAGAGAATTCTCAACAGAAGAATCTCAAATGGCCAAACGATATTTAAGGAATTGTTCAACACACTTAGTAATCAGGAAAATCAAATAAACTCTGAGATACCATCTGATACCTGTCAAAATGGCTAAGATCAAAAACACTGAGGACAGATGTTGGAAAGGATGTAGAATAAGGAGAACACTCCTCCACTGTTGATGGGAGTGCAAACTTCTACATCCACTTAGGAAATCAGTATGGCAATTTCTCAGAAAATTGGGAATCAATCTACCTCAAGACCCGGCAATACCATTCTTGGGCATATACCCAAAGGATGCTCAATCATACCACAAGAACACTTGCTCAGCTATGTTCATAGCAGCATTATTCATAATAGCCAGAACCTGGAAATAACCTAGATGTCTCTCAACCAAAGAATGAATAAAGAAAATGTGGTACATTTACACAATAGAGCATTATTCAGCGGTGAAAAACAATGGCATCATGAAATTTGTAGGCAAATGGAAGGAACTAGAAAAAAATCATTCTGAGTGAGGTGACCCAGATTCAGAAAGACAAACATTGTGTGTACTCACTCATAGTGGATATTAGACGTAAAGCAAAGAATGACCAGACTACAATCCACAGCTCCAGAGAAGCTAGCTAATAAGGAGGACCCTAAGAGAGATGTGGGGATGGTCCTAGGAAGGGGTAATAGATAAGATCTCCTGGGTAAACTGGGGGGTGGAGGAATGGTAGAAGGGAGGGAATGGGGATGAGAACATGACGGAATGGAATGGTCGAGTAGGGGAGGGACAGAGAGGGAGAGTAATGAAACAGATATATTGATAGAGGGAGCCATGATGGGATTAAGGAGGGCCCTTTTGCTAGAAAATTCCAGGAATCCATAAGAATGACCCCAGATAAGTCTCCTGGTAATAGTGGAGAGGGTGACTGAATTGGTCTGCTTTTTTAATAAGACTGGTGACTACCCTAATTGTCATCATAGAACCAGTAACTGATGGAAACAGGTGTAGAGATCCATAGCCAAGAACTGAGCTCTGGGAGTCCAGTCAAAGAGAGCAAGGGGAATGGGGTGGGGGTCAAGATCATGACTGAGAAACCCACAGAGGCAGCTGACCTAAACTCCTGGGAGCTTATGGACTCGACCCACAGTTGGGGAGCCTGTATGGGAGCAAACTAGCCCGCTGTGAGTGACAGTTGTGTGGCTTGGTCTGTTCATGGGGGCCCTGGCAGTGGGACCAGGATCTATCCCGGTGCATAAATTGGCTTTTTGGAGCCTTTTCCCTATGGTAAAACGCCTTGCTCAGCCTTGAAGCAGAGGGGAGGGGCTTGGTCCTGCTTTAACTTGATTTGCTAGGCTTTTGTTGACTCCCCATGGGAGGCCTTACTCTTTCTGGGAAGTAGGTGGGGTTGGGGGAGGAGAGGGAGGAGCAGGAAGAAGGGTGGGAGGGGCAACTGGGGTTGGTATATAAAATGGACAAAATACTTTTAAAAAGAGAAAAAAAGAAAAACGAAGAAAGCAGGCTGAGCAAGGCTTGAGGAGCAAGCCAGAAAGTAGTATTCCTCCATGATCTCGGCATCAATTCCTGCCCTGGCTGAGTTCCTGCCCTGACTGTCCTCATTGGTTAACTGTTACCTAGAAGTGTAAATGAAATAAATTAAAATAAAATTTTTCCTCCCAAGTTGTTTTTGATCATGGTATTTCAACATAGCAACAGAAACCCTAATTAAGAAAGAAATATTCCAGGCATTGCGATCACAGGAAGTTACAGCTCCTTAGGCATTATGGCCTCTGAAGACCTCCACAGGAACAGGATGTGGTGCTGAAGCCAGGGATGCTGATGGCCCTGCCTCTGTGCAGCTCTCTTAATGATCACATCTTAATTTGTAACAGGAACACTTGAAAAGCAACAAAGTAAGAAGAAATGAATTTTAGGGCTATGGGGATGAATCCCAAAACCCATTAAAGAAAAGCTGGGTGTGGTGGTAAAAACTGCAAACCCTTCACTAGAGAGGCAGGGACAGGTGATTCCTGGGGCTAGCCAGCTGGTCAGTCAAGCCTACTTGGTGAGCCCCAGCTCTCTCTCTCCCTCTCCTTCCCTCCCACCCCCCTCCCTCTCCTTCTTTCTCTGTCCCTACACACAAATCTATGTCCTGGCTATCCTGGAACTCACTTTGTAGACCATACTGGCCTAGAACTCACATAGATCCACCTGCCTCTGCCACCTGAGCACTGGGATTAAAAAGGTGGGAAGCACATGGCTACCCCCACACAAATGTTTTTCAATAGACAAAATAGACAAAAAAAAAATCTAGGTAACTGAGGATAGAGTTCAATTGGCACAGTGCTTGTCTGGACGGTACAAAGCCTCAGATTCAACCCTCAACAAGGCATAATCTAGACATGTGGGTACATCCTGTAATCTTAGCAGTTGGGAGATGTAGGCAAGACGACAAGTAGTTTAAAGTTATTGTAAGCTACTGATTTCAATGCCAGCACAGGATACATGGGCTTTTTATTATAAACAAAATAACAAGGAAAAAAATCTTTCATATAAGGATAGGTACTG